TGTCAGCAACAGGAATTTTGGAGCCCTAAGTCTTCCCAAACTTTTCAGATCATCACATTTTTAGCCAGCAGGTGGACACTGGTCAGGGGTAATCACATTGATGTAGGACCCTCCAGGAAATTCTACAGCTAGAACAAGCAAATCCCCCAAAACAAAACATTTTAACAAGAGAACAGAATAAAAAAGAGAAAAGAAAAAAAATCAAGGCAGAGGCTCTATCCACAGGGCTTCTGTTCCGACAAATGTGATAGGATTAATTTGAAATTTCTTTCTCTTCCCTCATTTCCCCGCTCCCTGTCACTCTCTCTCTCATTTTCCTCCAGGTTTGCTTTTAGGATGAAACTAGGTTAGTTATTACTTAGAATCAGAATCTTTTCATCTGTAATGAAAGTTGATTTTCTGATGTCCTCCTCGCCCCCAGTTACTGAAGTGAAACTGTAAGGATTTCATTATTTTCCCCTGTTCTTTTATTGGCTGCTTCCCAGAATGTAGGTTATCTTTGTGTTCTCATTACGGAAGCTACTTAATTCACTGAAGTAAGTAACACATGCAGAACTGGTGGCTTTTTTCTTCCCTACCTTACATATTTTCCACACGTAGGGGCTCTGAAGGCCAGTATCTGTGAGAGCTTTCTTTCTTAGAAGCTAGGTAGATTTTACTAATAAGGACCAGCAATTTTTTAAATGAATTAAAGCCTTCTATTTAATGACTATGTAATGCTGATCATCATCCCACTTTTCAGGTAGGGAACTTGAGACTCAGAAAGGTTAATTAACTTGTCTTAAGTCACACAACAAATAAGTAACAGAGTTTGGATTCAAACTCTGGCAGTTTGGCTCCAGTATACTTTTAATCTCAATGAGATGTTGTGTCTTGTGTTTAGCCCATTTACCCATTTGATCAAAAGTTATGGGACCCTATCCTGTTTGGCTCAATGGATAGAGCATCAGCCTGCAGACTGAAAGGTCCCAGGTTTGATTCAGGTAAAGGGCACATGCCCGGGTTGCAGGCTCAATCCCCGGTAGGGGGCGTGCAGAAGGCAGCCAATCAGTGATTCTCATCATTGATGTATCAATCTCTCTCTCCCACTCCCTTCCTCTCTCTGAAATCAATAAAAATATATTTAAAAAAAGTTATGGGAACAAATGAATTCTTGATGCACTTCATTAGGGGGACTCTTGCTCTGCTTATCTTTGTGTTAAGAATAATGCTAGGGCCCTGGCTGGGGTAGCTCACTGATTGGACTGTGGGCCCTGGCACCAGTGGGTTTCTGGTTCATTCCCATGCCCCTTTTGAGGCATGTGCAGAAGGCAACCAAATGATGTTTCTCTCTCACACCAATGTTTCTCCCCACTCTCCCTTCTCTCTAAAAATCAGTGGAAAAAATATCCTTGGGTGAGGATTAACAACAACAAAAAAGATGTTAGAAATTGGGAAGGGTGTTTTGCTGGCCACAGAGGATGCCCCTCCCGTAGGTGGATATTTACAATACAATTGTTGTGGCTTCCTATGTGCTCCTAATTCCTAGGAAGCTTAGGAGAAAAACTGGGGAAAGGAATTTACTAGAATAGCAAGCTACTTTATGACACATGATTTTGGAATTTTATTCCAAAGGGATTGTTATATTGGTTGCTTAAAGGCTGTATTTAATAAATAAGACAACTTAAGAAAGGTGCTTAGCCACATGCAAACGAATGAAACTGAATTAGTTTGTCCCCATGTGCAATACCTAATTCAAAATGTATCAAAGACCTAAATATAAGACCTAAAACAGTAAGTTACATGGAATGAAATATAGGTACCAAACTTATGGACCTTGGTCATAGAGAACATTTTATGAACTTGACTCCAAAGTCAAGGGAAGTAAAGGCAAAAGTAAATGAATGGGACTATATCAAACTAAAAATCTGCACAGCAAAAGAAACTGACAACAAAACAAAGAGGCAGCCAACAAGATGGGAGATGATATTTGCAAACAGTAGCTCCAACAAAGGTTTAATTTCCAAAATATATAAAGAACTCATAAAACAACACCAAACAAACAAACCACCCAATCAAAAAGTGGGCAGAGGATCTGAAAATACACCTCTCCCAAGAAGATATATGAACAGCCAATAGATATATGAAAGGATGTTCAACCTCATTGGCAGTTAGAGAAATGCAAATCAAAACTACAGTGAGATACCCACTCACACCTGTTAGAATGGCCATCATCTGCAAGACAAGAAACAACACGTGTTGAAGAGGTTGTGGAAAAAAGGGAACCTTCATGCACTGCTGGTGGGAATGTAGACTGGTACAACCACTGTGGAAAGCAGTCTGGTGATTCCTCAAAAAATTATGAATGGAGCTACTATATGACCCAGCAATCCCTCTTCTGGGTATATACCGAAAAACTTGAAGTCATTTACTTGCAAAGATATATGAAAACTTGACGTCATTTATTTGAAAAGATACATGCACCCCTATGTTCCTTGCAGCATTATTCATGGTGGAAACAACCAAGTGTCCTGCGATAGAGGACTGCATAAAGAAGACGTGGTACATATGTGCAGTGGAATACTACTCAGCCATAAGAGAGGCTGAAATAGTGCCACTTGTAACAACATGGATGGATCTTGAGAACATTATGCTAGACCAGTGGTCAGCAAACTGAGGCTCATGAGCCACATGCGGCTCTTTGCCCCTTGAGTGTGGCTCTTTCACAAAATACTGACTTCTGCGCATGGACCACGAAGTTTCAATAGCATTGTATGTGTGCACCCGCACATGTTATTTTGTGGAAGAGCCACACTGAAGGGGTCAAAGAGCCGCATGTGGCTCGTGGGCTGCAGTTTGCCGACCACGGTGCTAGGTGAAACAAGTCAGACAGAAAAAGCTAAGAATATATGATTTCACTCATATGTGGGATATAAAACTGAAGCTCATGAACATAAGCAGCAGTGTGGTGGTCACCAGAGGGAAGAGAGTCGGGGGAGAAGGGGGTCCTAATATACGGTGATGAGAAGATTTGACTTTGGGTGGTGGGCACGATGCAATATACAGATCTTCTAACATAGAAACCCACATCTGAAACCTATATGTTCATATTGGCCAATGTTACCCCAATAAATTTAATAAATAAATTTTTAAAAAAGAAAGGGAAAGATGCTTAGATACAGTGCCTAGAGAGGACGACCAGAGATATTGTTGCATCCTTCTTCCAGTCCACTTGGCAGAAGTCTCAGATGAATTGCTGTCTGATAAGCAGTGAGTTGTGTTTTCCTGGCTGGAGAACACCAGACTACAGAGTAATGTCTGTGGATTCGAGCAGAGCAGATAGCGTGCTGTCTGGGCAGGAGCTTCTGTTCTTTAAGTAGGAGAAACATTGACTCTTCCATTGGAGGTTGGGACAAACCCACATCACCTCTTTCAGAAATTTAGAAATTGACAAAAATTGATTCTCTAAACATAGACTTGCCCCTTCTAAAAGCTGGTTCTGACTCAGGGATCTTGGAAGTTGAATGTTGATGAAAATCAATCAAATTTGTCAGTCAGTTGTAGAACCATTGTGATCAATAACTACATTACCAGTAATGTGAACACTTCTCCTCAGAAGTATTGCCCAGATCCCAAATGCTGCCTGTCATGTTTAATCCTCCCCCCCCCCCATTTTTGTGCTGTCCCCGATCCTCCATAAAAATAATCACACATTCTTTTTCTTGACTGGAAAAGCATTGCAAATGTTTTTGCACAAGTTCTGGAGCTTTAGATATTTTTCTACCAGAGATGTTAAGAAATTTTAAAGCCCTTTTTTTTCTAATTACAGAAGTAAAACATCTTGTATCCTGTGCTAATATGTGTTCAATTACCTTATGTTTTAAAATTGATTTTTACAGAGAGAGGAAGGGAGAGAGAGAGAGAAACATCGATTGGTTGTCTCCCAACCTAGGTATGTGCCCTAACCGGGAATCGGTATATAGGACTATGTTCTAACCCAACTGAGTCACCCAGCCATGGCTTAGTTACCTTATTTTAATGTTTTGCAAACACACTTCATAAATATTTTTTGCTTGCTGTTTAATTTAATTAATTGGCTAATTAATTAATGTTTGCTTCCCCTTCTACCATGTAACCTTGATAACAACAGGGATCTTTTTGTCAAGTTCTTCACTTAATTTAGAGCCTGAAGCAAGTCTATTAGAACATAGATAACAGTCAGTAAATACTGATGAATGAATGCATGAGTGAATGTGCACATTCAGAATTAATAGACAAATAAAAGGAAGAAAATGAACATTTGAAAGATGTATATACAAGCATCCTTGCTTTTGCAGGACTGTAAAACTGACTATGCATGCTGAAGGTATGCAAAACAATCCTAATAATCAATGAGAAAAGTTACTATTGTTCTTTGACTTTAAAAAAATTTTCCAAATCATTAAGCTCTTCTTCCTTTTGGCTATAAAGGCATAGGGAAATAAGAAAGTAGTAAAACTAATATTTATTTAGTACATGCTAATTTCTAGAAAAATTAAGATGAAAGGGGGTGATTCCTTTGCAAAATCTCATCAGAAGGAGTTTGAATAGTACTTGCTTTCTTGATATTGTACAACTAATGAAATGGAATGAGCATCTTTTCTATGCCCAAATTGTCATAATCCCTCCTAATTTGAATCAGCTTCCAACATTTTATCCTCTGTGCTTTCCATGTCAAGAAATGTCTGTGAGAGTTTCTTTAATGTGAAGTGTTTTTTTTTTTTGTTTGTTTGTTTTTTGCCAGCACCACTTCCTCTGGGACATTGTTATCATTTTGTTGCAAACACTTTCCTGTTTATGTTGACCAGTAAGCCTTCACCGAGTTCCTCCACTAGAAAACTAGTTTCTCAAATGGTCAGTGGCAGCATTGCCTGTCTATGTGCCCATGACCAGCGAGATCTTCTATGCCTCCATTTACATTTGACTACAGATTTCACTTCCGGTGTTATCACCTTTTGTTTCTGTGCAGTTCTTTCATCTTTGTTGGCCAACTCTCTCTTTTGAGTATCCATGTTGTATGAATTTATCACGGGGAGATAAGAAGGTAACACAACCACACAGTATGCTTTTGGTACATGAACTGGATAACAAATGTGTAGTAACCAATCACTGACAGACTTTGAAAGATGCACTATGATTGGTCACTGATCAAGATGCACATATGTTATTTACATAGTCATTAATTGTGGACTAAAGAGGTAGCAGTGAAGTTTGTACTTTATGTAATTGCTCACAGTTCATATACCATGCTAACTAAAATTTGTACTGTGTTGTTAGGGGAAATTTAACTAAACTGTGAAATTTCACACACATTGGAACCAAGCAAAGTGAGGACTCCCTTAATTCCAGACTATTTTATGTACATATGTGTATTTTTTTCTTCACTAAAGTGGAATCACTTTATGTATATGAATTGACAATTTTATTTATTTATTTAATATTATGTATATACATAAAAAAACCCAATAATCTTAACTTCATGTTTTAAGACTATGGTATTTTATTTTATTTTTAAATATATTTTTATTGATTTCAGAGAGGTAGGGAGAGGGAGAGAGAGATAGAAACATCATTGATGAGAGACAATCATTGATAGCTGCCTCCTGCATGCTCCCTACTGGGGATTGAACCCACAATTTGGGCATGTACCCTGACCAGGAATCGAACTGTGACCTTCTGGTTCATAGTTCAATACTTAACCACTGAGCATCACTGGCTGGGCAACTACATGGTATTTTATTGAACAGTTGTGTTATAGTTTATTTAATCAATCTTTCTTTTTTGGACATTTTGGCTTTTTCTATTTTCCTTAATTATAAAATTGTGATGATCACCTGTAGCTAAGTCTTTGAGACAACGACTGCTATTTATTTGAAATGAATGTCTTTCTAATGATCGAATTGCTGGCTCACTGGACTCATATACTTAAAAATTTTTTTTATTGATTTCAGAGAGAAAGGGAGAGAGAGATAGAAACATCAATGATTAGATAGAATCATTGATCAGCCACCTCCAACACACCCCCTACTGGGCATTGAGCCTGAAACCCAGGCATGTGCCCTGATCAGGAATGGAACCATGACCTCCCCATTCACAGGTCAGTGCTCACCTGCTGAGCCATACCAACAGGGCTCGACACATATACTTCTAAGACATTTCCATATCATTTCAAATTTCCCTTCAGAGAGTGATGTTTACTGTTAGGCTCCTATCAGTGATAGAAATTTTCTAAATCGTTGCTGATATTAGACATTATCATTCCTTTTCATTTTTGCCATTTTTATTAGGTAAAACATTTTAATAATTAGTTTTGAATACTAGTTAGGTTGAATATTTTTATGAGTTTATTTGAGTAAATACATTTTGAGCTATGAAATTTTATTCTTGTTCTCTTTATAATAGTTTTCAGATGGTATGGGGTTTTTTTTTTAGGTTATTTGAGTACATACATTTTTACGCACACGTGCACACAAAACAAGCACACACATATATATTGGTGTACCTGAACTACATTCATATGTACGTACCATTCTTGGGATTATTAAGAATATCTGTGGGCCTTAGGTTTGTAACATAGCCATCAGTTTCCAAATGCTATCCTTTAAAAAAAGAGAGAGAAGAAGAAGGTGAACATGACTCATGACCTGGAGGAGATGCTAGTTAATTTTTTATTATGTTATTTTCAGGAGATGGGGTCAAAAGGAGCTAGTAGGGCATTCAATTATGTGCTTGAGTGTGTTGGAAATCCCTCCCCCCTCAGGTGTACAATATTTTACTTGGGCTTGTTTTTCAAGTGCATTGAAGTGAGACTAAATATTTTTGGTGCTCCATTATGTAAAGAAGAGGCCCATCTTGTTAAATATTCCTTCATCAACTTTGTAGTTAGCCTGTAAGGACATGGGCGTTAGCATCGGATAGAGGGAAGGTAGGTGGGAGGCGGGCACCTGGGCGAAACTGAGGATAGGGGTGCTCCGTTGTCTCCTCCCACTGTTGTGGAAAAGTGACTGGATCAAGCTTGTTTCTGTCTAATCATTTTGGATGGCTCATAAATGGGGAAGGAGAGAAAGTCATGAGGTTGGACCTCAGCTCATCTGAGGGCTAAAGGTTCTTTGTCACACACCACACAGAACTGGAGCGCTGTCCTTCCGGAGAGTAGTGGAGAGCTGAGATACAGTTTAGAACCAACGGAAGAGAGAAGGGCTTTGGTTTCTTTTTGTCTCGAGGTTGAGGATAAGCAAGGAAGATGTCCACTGAAGATGTGGAAGGGAAGCCCAGCAGCTTTGGGGACGGAGGAAGAGCTCAGAGCTACACGTTCCTCAGGGTGGTGCAGCCAGTGTTTAACCGCAGTATTTTCACTTCTGCAGTCTCTCCCGCCGCAGAGCGAATCCGATTCATCTTGGGCGAGGAGGATGACAGCCCAGCACCCCCTCAGCTCTTCACCGAACTGGATGAGCTGCTGTCCGTGGATGGGCAGGAGATGGAATGGAAGGAGACAGCGAGGTGAGGCACGGTGGATGTTGCAGTACTGACCTGGGGGAACAAGGGTGGGCAAGAGAGTTGAGTGTGAATGAGCACCTTTCTCTAACCTCAGCACTTTGAATAACCGATGAGCATGGTGTTGGCTGGGTTAGGGAATTAAACAATTTTTCTCTTCTCTTTCACATTGACGTGATGCTGGACACCCTTTATTGTACTGCTAGAGCATCGTTTCACTGATCCGTATTGCTATAATTTTAACCCTTACGAAGAATTAATAGTAAATCTCCATCCATATGCTACTTATTAGTGAAATATTTTAAAGATAAACTCAATTACCCAAACAGGATATGTGCCCTCACTCTCCGCATGTCAAAATATCTTGTGAGATGATGTTTGATTTATTACCCATTCCCTGTTAGGGAGGGAGGTTGCAAAGGCAGTAACTGGTACCAACAAACTTGCTACTATCCCAAGTAAAAACCTCTCATCTTTTTAAATATCCAGTGAAAGTAAGGAGAAGGTTCACCCGAACTTAGAGTTTAGAGACCTGAGTTCTATTTCAAACTCTGTGGCCTGTTAGCTCAAAAACAGTTTCTCAGAACTTTGATTTCATTATCAATAGAGTAGATAATAATGCCTACTCCATATAACATGTATTCTGTATAAGATATATAACATATGTAAATATAATATTATACAATATGTGTCTGATTATTTTATATAAACACACATGTATGTATATAATGAAATTCTTTGTAAATTGTTAAAGCACTGCATAAATATCCAAGTTTTTATTAATTTCATGATAGCAGAGCTTTTCTTTCTTTCTATATGTAGATTTAGTTATATATTCCACTCTAAATCTTTGATGACATACAACATGTACATAAGATAAAGACTGATATAATGCAGATGTTGGTCTCTCATTGCCATCATCACAGGGAGAGTCAGTATATTTCACTTTCTTAAACAGAATTATGTTAAGATATGCCTTTTATAGTCTGTAATTTAATTAAAACCAGTTAAATTGAACCAGTGTGTTTTGAATGCCCGGTATAGGTCAGGTACTATTTTAGGTATTGGGAATGCAGAAGTAAATATTTTTATTATTTGCTCTTTTAGGGCCTCTTGACAAAGATATAATCATTGTCTCTTATTCCCATTCTCAGTACCAATAACCTGGATATATAAAGTTGTCCATAAGTGTACTTTTAGTTCATAAAACATCCTGCAAAAGGAGGCTTTTGAAGCAAAAACTTTTCTTAGTACCTGCATTTCATTCTTTCTTTACTTTCTTTCTAACAGAAAAAGAATGAGAGTTGTACTGGTGCAATCTGAATTAAGTGTTGGGGAGATTTTGGTTTAGCCTTGGCTCTGTGTTAACTAGCTGTTTAGCTTCGGGCGATTCATGTAGTCATGTCATCTTCCTGTGTTTGAGTTTTCTATTCTATCAAATGAGGGTCATATAGGGTTACATCCTCTCTAACATCATGCATATTTTAGAGCTCTAACATTCCACCCATGCTGTATATTGGTGTAGCCAGCTGTGATTAGCAGACATATTTGACTCTTATTTTTATCTTAAAATTCTGTGAGAGTACTTTATATAGATTAGAATTCAGGTATAGCACCCTGTTTTTCTTTCAGTCAAGTGAAGGCTACACTTTATTTTCTATGACCCCTGGTCCCATAAATGTGGAGAGATCACAGTTCACTTATAGGTAATAAAATGTTGAGAGAGGTGGATATCGCATTTCCCTTTAAGGTTGTTAAAGATTAAGATGGACTTGATACTGTATTATCTATAAAGACTTTATTTCCTTGGGAGCATATGTGTCATTTTGATGATGCCCTTGGTTCCTGGGAGAAGGGGTGGGAGTATGCCAGGTGTCAGAGGGAAGCTGTCCAGGAAGAAACATACCTACATGTAATCAACACCCTATGACTTCTCCTATATAGGACTTGCCACAGTTACTGTTAACTATGAATTAATCATATATGTGATATTATTGTTTTGGTTTTATCTCCCTCATTACACTAATTCATATGAAGGCAGGGATCACCATGTCTGTGTTTTACTACTGTATTCCCAGTTCCTCGCTATACCTGGTACATAATAGGTCAGTAATATTTGTTGAGTGTGATTAGTTGAGAACTGATTGCTTTATAAACAGCTCTTCTACATAGTCTTTCTTAGAAGTCTTACTGGATCAAAATTGGAGTTCTGTGATAATCCATCCCTGATTGATAGATAGCTGACTGATAGACCCAGGGTACCAAGCACATCATTGAGAAAGCCCAGAAGAGGGCTTGTGTTTGATGTTTCAAACTGATTCATCAGTATACTGATGCCATCTGCTTTTAGTTCTCCAGTCCAGACTTCTTGCCTCATTTGACTGAAAACAAATGGTTGGCCCAGCTGGTGTGGGTCAGTGGTTGAGTGTCAATCTATGAACCAGTCATGGTTCTATTTCTGGTCAGGGCCCATGCCTGGGTTGTGGGCTTGATCCCCACTGTGGGGTGTGCGGAGGCAGCCGATCAATGATTCTTATCATTGATGTTTTTCTCTCTCTCTCCCTCTCCCTTCCTCTCTGAAATCAATAAAAACATATTTAAAACAACAACAACACACAAATGTTTGGATGGCTAATGAGCATCTCAAAAAGCATGTCTAGAATGAAGCTTCTCATTCATTTACTTCAGATAAGCTCCTCCTACAGAGTTCCTCACTACAATGAAAAACTCCATTTTTGTAGCTGCTCAAGCCAGAAACATAGTAGTCTTCCTTGACTCCTGTCATTCTCTGCACCCCTTACTTAATCCTTTGGCAAATCCTATCTATTTATCCTCAAAGATATTCAGATATTCAGAATCTCACCATATCTTATATTCAGTATTGCCATAACCTGGTCCAAGCCACCATTATCTTGCAAATGCTTCTTAACTAGTCTACCTCCCTGCACTTGTCCCACTCTTACCTCCCTCATAAATCGTCCACCATGATCTCTTAGACCTCATCTGCTTCTTCTGTTCCTCTTGTTCGATCTGCTTGCACCTCACTGGCTAGTCATGCTTCTGTGTCACGGATTTTGCATTTGCTGTTCCCTCTGTCTGAAATGCTTTCCCAGCCACATCCCCACGGCTCATTTTCTCAACTCCTTCAGGTCATTATTCAGACCTGACCTTCTCAGTGACTGCCCTTTCTAAAGTGGAAACATCCCCCCAACTCTCTATCCTCCATGCTCCATAATTTTTATCTTTAGCACTTACCAGCATTTAGCATTTTGCATCTATTGTTATTTTCTCTTTCTAATAAAATTAAAGCCCCCTGAAGGCAGGAATTTTTGGTTGTTTTGTTCACCACTCTGCTTCCAGTGCCTACAACTACCTGGCACACAGTCTACAATCAAGACATCTGTGCTTAGAGAACAAGTGGAGAAATAGGACCTTGATTCTTAGTTTATTGCTCCACCTAAATCCTGTTGGGAAGTTTTGAGGTGATTGTGCCTCCAGAAGTTATTCAGGTTTTCAGTAACTTCTACTTCCTGTATGTTTGCAGCAATTTGACTGCCATTTATTACGTCATTTTCCAGACATGACCGGGGTTCTTTTTCCCATGAAAAGCTCTCAAATCTACCAGACCAATAAAAGTGTTGTGCTTAGAGGGAATTCACTTTATATATGAACGTGCAGCATGGGTATTTTTGTGGCTAACCTATAAAATTAAGAAACCCCAATTGACAGATTATATATTCCATAGAGAACTAACCTACCAGACTTCTTCAGCTTAATATAGTTTCTACTGTTCATATCCCCTACCCATTTTAGTACTCTCCCTTTTAATATTCTATACTTTTCATTTGACTAATGATTTGATAGCACCAAGAATATCCTACATTGAGTGTCAGAGTTACTGTAGTTTCAGGAAGTTCAAGTTAGCTCTGTCTCAAAAAGTAAGGAGGAGGATTTCATTAGTAGGAAAAAATATCCCCCTTTAGGTTGTTGGATTCACAGTAGTCATGTAAAACTATGAACAAGGGAAGCTTTTATTTATATGAAATTTGAAGTGTAGCCAGTTCTACCACCTTCATTTTTCACATCTTTCCCCTGCTCTTCCCTTTCCTAAAAGTTAGAACTTTAAATTTTTACTGGCTCTTCCAACAGAGTTCAAGTTAAAGATTGTGCAAAGGGTGGCATGATGAGACCTAAGAAGACTACATGGTCAGTGGAATGCAGAGAGCACTATGTGGTTTTTTTTTCTTTCTTCTTCTTTCAGTACAAGACTTTTATTGTATCTTTATAATATAGCAAACATCTTTATAATATCGCAAACAAGTGTGACAAATCATTCGGCATCTTGGTGTTTCTATGGCTGGACAACTTAGATCTTATTCATCAGCCTACTGAACTGGCCCTTTTTCGGAATCATAGATACTATCCAAAAAATTTCTGATATCCTTGTTTTTAACTGTTGTGGCTTGTTGAATCAAAGCAGTTGAATTTGATACAAGTTCAGTGTCATCTCCTTCAAGAATCAACTCATCTTTCTGGGCTTGAGATACTGAACAAGCAACGCCTGACCTCATCTGAACTCTGTGGATGTATTTTTCACCCAAGAAATTTCTAATTTCAACAAGAGAACCATTCTCCTGAATAACGATGTTGATGGGGAAGGGACCGTACACAGACCTCATCTTGTAATGCAATGGTATTCATCCTCACAGCAGATGTGTCAACAAGCGAGAACACTGTGTTTTAAAGAGCACTCCTAAGTGTTAGGGCGTTAGGATACTGACATTTAGTCATGTAGCAGTAATTGCAATGAAATATTTGATATTAGGGAACAAGCCCATGTTTCTCATTAAGAATTTCTAGGAGCTATGTTTTAGCTAATGGACTCATGAAGCAAACTGGTAAAGAATAAGCCATGGTCCAGCTTTGGTGACGGCCCCTCACCAAACTCTGTTTCTTTGAGTCAGTAATATCTCTGCAGAAATCGTTATTGGCTTTCACTTTTATTTCAGTGACTGCTCAAATGGGCAGTGTTGTAAGTGGTGAATGTTACAAGAAACTGTGTTAAAGTTCACTCCCTCAGTGTCTCAGTGGGTAAAAAGGAAAGGCATCACAAGTTTCAGCAAATGAACAAGCCAACAAAGGGAAAGGGTGTTGGTGTTTCCCTTCTGTTGGGAGTGCACACAGGAGCACCCGCTCGTTCCAGTTTGCCCTGCAGACTGACCTACGTACCTCCGGAGAATCTGATTTCAGGGCCTGGCCATCAAACAGAGCCACGTGCACTGATCCTGGGGCCCTGGAGAGAAACTGCTCCCTTCCCAATTGACATTGACTTTGCTTTGCAAAATTCCATTGGAGACCAGGTTTATTGTTTCTGTAAGAAAAAGGCTGAAGGAAAGGAAATTTAATCACTTTATAATTCAATGTAGTTACAGCATACAGATAATTTCATATAAATATGCATAAGTATAACTTTATGTACCTTTTATACATACATGTAACTTTTATAACAACATGCATAGAACTTTTGCAATAACTTTTACAGTTGCTCTATAAATTTAAGCATTCTCCTTAAAAACATCACTTATCCCAGGTACACACTAGCACTAGCTTTTTTTATGTGATGAGGCAATTACTAGTTAGCAAGAAATTTTGTTATCATTTTAATAGTTTTATGAAGTTGGACTATAATCTAAGGCAAAGGTCATGTCAATTTTCCGCAGTAAAACTGGCATATTTTTAAGTTAGAGGTCTTGTCTTTTCTTAATTATATTCGATCATATGATTGGAAAATTGCAAAATTCAGTGATTCCCAGTGAGTTTTCTATTTCTTCACCAAATGAGTTGAGTTCTGTTGTTTGGCAGTCACTCAGAGTGTGTTACACTGCAGTATGCTTTATCATTGTTCTTCTAAGACCTTGGAATAAATAAACTTCACCTAATAAACTCCTCTTCCAAGGTTACAAGTTTTGTAATTGCAAGCATTTAAAAAGCCAACTTCTGAAAATAATTTTCCTATAACATGTCAAGTACTAGGCAGAAGAAAAAGTGAGAAACACATTGCAGATACATGATTATTCATAGCTACTATGAAGGGTAGATGGTGGCTTTTAGTACATTTAACAGGAAGAACATCTATTTTTTACCATTGTAATTACATGGTACTGAAGCACCTTTACAAATTCATTGGCTGAACTTTGGTACCTTGGCCTTAGTCTTATCCTTAATGGGTTCTATCTGAGTTGAGTAGTTTTCAGTGTTTTTTTTTTTGTTTTTTTTTTTTCAAATTTGTCCTTGATATGTGAGGAGGATGGACATAGCATGTGTAGTTTCTAGAATGAAACTCCCTGCCAATAATCTGTTTAAATGGTAAACTTAGTTGATGCCTGAAAGCATATGTTGGAAGTACCTTGAACAATCAATTCCTTGAACAATTAGAGCAATACATTTTAAAGAAATTTAATAGTACTTATTCCAGAGTTTCCCTTATGCTGTTAGCTGTGCTAGGATATGAGATTATCACAACATTCAATATTTACTGAACTCAAAATGAAATAGATGCTAAACTGAACTATGAGATAATACATATCCCCTGAGAATGTGGATTCTAAGGAGCTGGCTAGTTTGAGACTGCATTTCATTCCTCTACTAGAGGCCTGGTGCACGAAATTCGTGCGCTATAGGGGGCGGGGTTCCTCAGGCTGGCCTGTGCCCTCTTGCAATCCAGAATCCCTCAGGGGATGTCCAACTGCCGGTTTAGGCCTGATGCCCCCTGCGCTCACCAGCCATGAGGATGGCTCCTGGATTAGCGGCACTCCCACAGGGGAGCACACTGACCACCAGGGGACTGCTCCTGCGTTGAGCATCTGCCCCCTGGTGGTCAGTGCATGTCATAGCAACTGGTTGTTCCACAGTTCGGTCGATTTGCATATTAGGGTTTTATTATATAGAATTGTTATATCTTGACTTAAAGACCTGGTGTCCTCTAGGAAGGTGAGTAATGCTATTCCATAAATCCAAGCTAATTAAGATTTATGATTTTTAAATATACTTTAAAAACTTGTTCAAAGTCATATTGAAGTCCAGTGTGGTTGCCTATAATATACACTATGGAAAGGAATGAAATAAAAGATCAAACACAGAAGAATGCAGAGGTTTTTACTCCTTTAAAAATTTTTAAAATTTAACTTATACTGTTTAAATAGTTGAGGATGATAGTAAAATAGAGCCATTGTCACATGCTGTATCTAAGTGAGGCTTAGTTTTCTCTCAAGAAATGGTTTTGGCAATATAAATTTATGGCAGATAGAAAAGAGGGGGACTCGTTTAGTAAAGATTAGCCGTAATTGAAGGCCGTATAAAACACTTCCCTTCACGGAGTTTCTAGCTGACTCATGTCATTCATCTTGGGCTTAAATTCTATGGCCAAAGATTCTATTCCTCAACTAATAAGAATACTTTTAGGAATAAAAATAAGGAGTCACTACAGTCTTTAAAGATGACATAATTTTATGTAACCCTGTCTTGATTTCATATACTATATAATCTTCTAACCTCTACAGTCTTATCTTGAGTAATAACTTATAACATCAAATGTAAATGTGACTCACATAGTAGTTGCCAACAAACATGGTTAGAGATTCTGTCAGCAAGCATTAAAAGATAATACACCTAAAGTTAACCAATGTAATATGCTCCATAAAATGATTACTCTCAAAATAACCCCAATTACCTTTTATTGTTTTGGCAAATTATACGAGTATTATGTAAAACTAGGGGCCCGGTGCACGAAATTCGTGCACTGGGTGTGTGTGGGGGGAGTGTCCCTCAGCCCAGCCTGCCCCCCTCACATACTGGGAGCCCTCAGGCATTGACCCCCATCACCCTCCAATCACAGGATCGGCCCCTTGCCCAGGCTTGACGCCTCTGCCAGAGGCGTCAGGCCTGGGCAGGGGACCCTCATTTCCCCCCATCACTGGTTCTGCTCCCAGCCCAGGCCTGATGCCTCTGGCCCAGGCGTCAGTCCTGGGCAGGGGACCCCAGACCCCTCCGATTGCTGGCTCTGCCCCTTGCCCAGGCCTGATGCCTTGGCCAGAGGCGTAGACCCCCATCACCCTCCAATCACCTGATCGGCCCCTTGCCCAGGCCTGACGCCTCCGCCAGAGGTGTCAGGCTTGGACAGGGGACCCCCATCTCCCCCTGATCACTGGCTCTGACCCCCGCCCAGGCCTGAGACCTCTGGCCCAGGAATCATGCCTGGGCAGGGGACCCCCATCTCCCTCTGATCGCTTGCTCCACCCCCTGCCCAAG